AGCCATGCCTCATGTAACACCCCGGATATGACTTTCCCAATTTGTATTCCAACTCTTGCCGTTTCCGATGTTAAGTTATTTTATTTTCTCGGGTTTGGGTCTTTGTCTCCGTGTGTTGTTATCGTTGTCATGCATCTCATATCATGTCATCATGTGCATTGCATTTGCATACGTGTTCATCTCATGCATTCGAGCATTTTCCCTGTTGTCCGTTTTGCATTCCGGCGCTTCGTTCTCCTCCGGTGGCCATTTCTACCTTTCTTTCATGTGTGGGGATTAAACATTTCCGGATTGGATCGAGACTTGCCAAGCGGCCTTGGTTTACTACCGGTAGACCGCCTGTCAAGTTTCGTACCATTTGGACTTTGTTTGATGCTCCAACGATTAACCGAGGGACCGAAAAGGCCTCGTGTGTGTTGCAGCCCAACGCCCCTCCAAGTTGGCCCAAAACCCACCAAAACCCTCTCCATCATCTAGACCGTTCGATCACGATCGTGTGGCCGAAAATCGCACCTCATTTGGACACTCCTAGCTCCCTCTACCTCTATAAATACACCCCTCCTCTAAATTCGCGGATCGCCTCTCCCAAACCCTAAAAATCGGATCTCCGCCGCCGCCGGACACGTCCGGACGGAGTCGGACGTGTCCGCCCACTGCCGCCGACCAGTCGCCACCCGCCACGTGGCACGCCCCCGCCGCCTCGCCGCTCCGGCCCGGGAGGCCCGGGTCAGGCCCCCGCGAGCCCGTTGCCCGCGCCGCCCGGTGGTGCCTCCTCCGCCGTTCGCCGCCGCCAACTCATCACCGGCCGCCGCCCCACATCTCCGCCGCCTCGCCGCCCGACCCCGCAGGCCTGCTCCTCAGCCGCGCCGCCTGCGCCGACGACGCCCATCTCCGCCGCCTCGTCGTCCGGCCCCGGATCCAGCTAGGTCCGGCCCGGCCCCCGCTTCCCCGAGCCGCCGGCGAGCTCTCTCCGGTGAGATCCGCCACCGCGTGATCCCGTGCTACAGTGTCGTCGCCGGATCTTAGATCCACGCTACAGTAACCCTAGATCCGGAGGTCCAAATTTTCTTCTAAGTCCCCGTTTTTCCAGATTCAAATGCCCTTGTTCATCGTGCCATAACTCCTCATTCATAACTCCGTTTTGGGCATATAGCATATCAAAATGTTCGCCTCAGAGAGTACATCATTTCATTACATTGCATCATTTTCATTTGAGTTCATCTTGATGCCCGAAATGCTGTTAGAAGAGTGCTACTTGAGATAATTGTCAGATCTGCTACTCCATTTAGATATTTGTCATTTTTGCCATGATTATTGTGTGCATGATATGCCCATGAACTCTACATGTGTTTTGTTAAGGGTTTTGCCATCTTTCCAGAGGTGCAACCCATGTATTTTTGTGATGTGTGTGGTGACTAGCACAAGCTTGCAAAGTGAGGCACTTGGTAATGCTGATTTCAGGGACTTAGCATTTCCACTAAGTCCTTGAATTGTTTATCTCATATAAATCTGGGAGTGGTTTTAGAAAAACTGGTTGAAATGGGTTGGTTTTTATTATGGGCTTGATTGGTTTAGGTCTTATTGGGCTGAGCCTTTCTTAAGTTTGGTTTGGTTTCAGTTTTGAGAGGAACCAGTTTGAGTATAGTTGGTTATGGGCTGAAACCATTTGATGCATTATGGGCTACAAACCATGGGTACAACCCATTTCGCTGCGTCCAGTTACCCACACGCTGCCCGCGGTGCTGCCCTGCCTCTTCCGGTCTTCCCCCGCGCCGCCCCTGCTCCCCTGCCTCTTCCTTGCGCCGCCGCCTCGCCGTCACCCTCCGGCGCCGCCCCCTCCTTGCGCTGCCGCCTCGCCATTACCCTCGGGCACCACGCCCTCCTTGCGCCGCCGCCTCGCCGTCACTTCCTTGCGCCACCGCCTCGCCGTTACCCTCGGGTGCCGCCCCCTCCTCCGTCGCGCGGCCGCGCCACCTTCCCTTCGTCGG